TTGTGGAGTCTCCTTCTCTGGAGATATTCAAGACCCGCCTGGACGTCTACCTGTGTGACCTGGTGTAGGGAATCTGCTTTGGCAGGGGGGCTGGACTCGATGATCTCTGGAGGTCCCTTTCAACCCCTACGATTCTGTGATTTTCTCCTGGTAAAGCCTGTCACCTCCTTATCAACAGAAAAATGATGACTCTAGCACAGACTTCACCACACCTCACTGAAAAAAATCTACTGACTGCAAGCTCCAACACAGCAGTTCATATCTCATTTGTCATAAATGGAGCATATTGAAACTGCCTCTGCAAATATTATCAATAATGAAAACTGATATCAAAGTTGCCCCAAAACCCCATTACTGCATAGGTTCAACATGCTTAAAGCCAGAGGCACCTTTGCTAAAGACTGCTGTAGAGCAGGCAATCCTGTTGTTTGCTACTAAGCTGAAAACAGCTGAAGAATTTAAGGTTACTTAATATATAACTTTCCTGTATTTCTGTTCAGAAATCAAAAAGGCAGTTCTGAGGATTTTCCATATTTAGGACATATTCATGCTTCTATGCCCTCAGTGAAGAAGCTGGACATAAACCAACCAGAATGTTCTGCCAAGCCCTTTGGGAAGAAAGGAGGATCAGTACTCATTTGCTATACCTCTCACCTGTGTGCACGTTGAAGACTTTCACACCTTGAAATACATCCATGAACCATCTTCCCTGACACCTTGCACTAAGCATTAGGTACAGAGCATCTGGGAACGTATTTCTGAAAATAGAGATGGAGAAGTTCCAGTTTAGACATAAGGGGTAAAAAGTAATGTGTGTGCCTGTAACAGACATCAGGGAGACAGAATAAGAGAGAAAAACAGAGACAGAGAGAGATGTAATGGGGGACACAAAAGACAAAATAAAAAAAAAATCAGAGAAAGCGAGACAGCAAGGTGGAAAGAAACAGAGAAAGATGGAGGGAGGGGGAGCACAAAAAGAATAGGGACACAGAGAGGTCAAACAGGGAAAGAAATCAGGGACCAAGAAAGGGAGCTGGAGGGACACAGAAAAGACAGACAGTAGGCTCACACAAGGCATGAGGAGGAGAAGACAGAGAAATGGAAGTTGAAACACAGGAGGAGGAGCCAAGCACGGCACAGACAAAGTGCCTGGTGCCACAGCCTCAAGCTTGGAGCTGCAGTGTCATGTTGGCAGCTGAAAAGAATGAGGGGCACAGCAATGAAACAGATTCTGGTTTCTTACTTTGATCTCTGAAGTGGACCTACAACTTCTCTTAAAAATAAATGCAACTTCAACATGCATGACTATTACACAACAAAGAAGTTGTTTTTTCCTAAAAGGAAAAAAATACACATAGTTGTGGCAACCTGATGACATTTAAATAAATCAGAATCTTAACCTGGACTGGAGATCTATTTGCATTAAAATAACTAAGATGTTAGATTCACAACACTGTGTTAACGCAGGCATAAGATGATCTAGCTAGCTACTCTAGCTTGTAATAAATAAAAACCAAACAAAACCAAACAGGGCTGAGCTGCACAATGAATACGTAGGAGAAAGATGAACACAGCTTTTTCTCTAGTGACAATTTAAAACTAATGTTCAACCAGTTTAAGAGAAGGACAAAGCTGAAGTGTGGAAGGGATGGGACAGCGAGTAAAGGTAAAAATCAAAGGAAAAAAAGAGCTGGGATGGTTGTCCCACACCTGGATACACACTACACATATTCAGCAGGCTAATGGTGCCTGCTTGAGTTTATGCCAATTCTAATTTCTCTAATTTATTACTCCCTACCCATTCTGCCGCTGTATTACAGTTAGCAAAAGAGAAGGTAGTGCTACAAATCAAAATAGGATGGAGTTATTTAAAGAGAGCTAAAGTGTATGCTAGCCATGTAAATGCAGAAACCACAAAATAAGGATAGTGCAATTATCCTAACCCCAAGCATGGGAGAACTATGAAATTTCAGGATTATATTTAAATATAGCTAGAATATGCTAACACCTTTAGCTCAGTCCTGATGAAGTGTTACAAGAAAAGTGGGTAAAAATACTTGGGAAAAAAAACACGTAAG